AAAAATTCTGTGCAAGTTGGAGTGATACACAATTGTCATTTTGGCAACTCATTAATGAGTTTGAAACGAATTTTTGGACTTAAGCAGGTACATAAGCATAACATAGAAGCCCTTATCTCTAAAAAGTAATTCTAATCATGAGTTGAATCAAATAGTGATGAATTTATATCCTTTTTTATTTGAAAAAAAAAGCTTTTAAAAAGTTCACTCAATCACAGTCCTTTTCAATAAAGGAGGTAAATCAAGTGTACAGCCTAATTAATGCTTATGTATTGTTATCCATTTTTCAGAAAAGTTGGGTAATAGATTTCTACTTGTCCTCTTGTGACCAGGAGATTTGAGAAAGATTCAAGCTTTTGGTTAAATAGCCATGGAATCGTATAATTGTCGAAAACTTCGTATTTAATGATTTATGTAGACCTACCAAATTTATTTCTCTCCCCAAATAATTTAATTTACTAAGACTTTGGTTACTGGAGCCCATACAAATTTACTTGGAGCAAGTATTTTTATAGTTTTCCTCTAAAAAATTAAAAATAGTTTTAGGCAGTGGTAAGGTACTGAGTCTTTGAGAAGATGCACAGAAGTGTTGTATCACTATCAGCATCATATGGGAATGTGAAACCTCTCTGGGTATGAAGTCCATGTTCAAATTTTTGAAAGAAGGCACTTTTAATAAAAAAAGCTAACACTGCACATAAAAATCCGTGAATTTTGATGTTTGATTAGCAAATCACAAGTGAGCTCATTGTTTTGAATCTTAATTATTCCCAGGAAAAATAAAATAATACAGTAAGATATCGAGAGGAAAAATATTCATACAGATTTCAAGTGTGTCAGAGAATCAGAGCTACTTTTAATCAAACCAAAATATTAAGACGGCGCCGTTTACTAGTAATTTGAACACGCCGCTTTGCAAAAGTTTGTGCTAATACGGAACGAATCTGTTGTAATGGAGGCTATGCCATAAAGCGGAAGATTTATATGGGAGTCATTATTTAGGGAGAGAAAACTGGGGCTATTCCATTCATTAATTGAGTTTATTAAATTTAAATTTTCACATTTTAGTTATTTTTACTACAGTTATTTTTATATTTCACATCGGATCCCAGCTACTAGACTTCAAAAAAATCCAAATACCGGGTCACCTCGCTTCCTCGCGGTGAATTAAAAACTCAGCTCGTCTTAGCTTGAGTCTGCTGAGGAATGCTGATGATGAAAAAGTGAAACAGATTTAAATTTGGGACAGCCC